ACCCCCCCCCCATTTGCACTCGAAAAGACTGTTTTTAGCCCTCTTTTAGATCAAAATTTCCGAAAATTCGTCAATTTTCTGGAAGGTGGGGGGGGGGGGGCAGCCGCCCCCTCGCCCCACCAAGATTTCCGCCACTGATCGCAGGTTCCATTCCTGTCTGACCTAGAACTTAAAGTTGCATTTGTCGCAGCTGTTCCTGGACTAATAAATGTACATAAATTTCCACTCGATAATCTACAATACCCTTCAACTCAGTACCGACAAGCCTTAATTCTAAATAGTTACACCTGCCATCCGTTCAAAGCTGATCATTTAAATGCGGCCGAAATAGCAAATAGAATTACATATCCACATCAAACAATCGTATTTAATTACGATACCCTCGCATCAACAACATATTAGCAAAACATGACAAAATTGTGTTTCCCAGTAACAATCATGCTTTCAAACAATGTAGCAAAACAATCACTGGGGAAAAATTAGCGAACAATGTATCTTTTCAAAGTGTGCGGCGTTGTTACATCGCAACGATGATGGACAAATGTGTCGCCGGTTCTGCGGCCGTAAGCCTACGATCTAGAAATGGGCACAAATTGGGGTAAATCCGTGGCTGAATTTGATTCAATTCCAGACGAAAAGAAGTATTATAAAACAGTGTATTCCAACGTGATGAAAGTGGTTAGTAATTTACTACATTGACTATACTGATATTATTATTTTACAATATTTATCAGTTAAGCACTGGACAATAGTCTTAAGAAAATGGATATACTGAAATCCATATTTCCTAGCCATGTTTCTTGAAGGTAGATAAATCAGAAAACATTATTTAATTCCCAGCCACGTTTCCCGAAGTTGGTTCAAATCAGTATATTCCGCCTTAGCCATAATTCGCAAAGGTAGGAAAACCGGTAACTGAACAGCCAGTCAGTTTGTCACGTTTCCCAAGGTTGAGCAACCCAAGAAAACATTGTTTCTGCAACAAAATTCAAACTTGATTCTATAGCATTATGCTTTCATCAATTCTTGATTCAAAATATACAAAACTCACAAAACTGAACTAATGCATTGACCCATTGAGCGTCAGCACTGTCTGGCGTTAGACAGAGTAAAATAATCTGGCGTTACACAGAGTAAAATCGTCTGCCGTTAGACAGAGTAATATAATCTGGCGGTACAAAGAGTAAAATCGTCTGGCGTTAGACAGAGTAAAATAATCTGGCGTTAGACAGAGTAAAATAATAAAGTAGGGCGCATTGGGGCGCAATTAACGCAACTTCATGAATTAAAGTATTTTATGCTCTTGACATTAAAAGGTTCGCTATCTGGCCGATAGACAATACTTCAATTATATGTTCCGAGCGGCACAGCCGACAGATGACCGAGATGTTCCGACTCCAGGGCGAAAACGCGCCGACACATGGCCGAAATCCAGCAATGAGTCTAAAATGGATGACCGAATGGTAGGAAGAATTAAACTAAAAAATGCGGAAAATATATAACCCCCAGTACCGAAATTTGCAAATTTTATATTAATTTGTATTACGCACGGGAAAATGCATCACTTTCTGCCCAAATGTGGTGCATTTTCCCTTTTGCACAACAATTTGTGCAATTTGCAAATTTCGCAGGGCTATATTTTCCGCTTATTTTACATTTCGCAACCAAATTTTGCAATTTTGCTAATTTTAAGATGCTCTATCTAGCTGTGGTGATGGATTTCGATCTTCTTGCCTAGATGAAAATTTAGTATGCAGCTGGAATCACCATTAGCATGTTGTATAATTGATAAAATGCTGTGCTGAGTGGTTATATTACTACCTTAAAAAATAAGCAGAAACTCGACGTTTCGAGCGAAAGCCCTTCGTCAAGAGTTAGTAGCCAAATTAGCATGTTGTATAATTGTGCATGATACATAAATTGTCCATAGATATCTTATATACACTAGATAGTGCATCTAATTATTCTGCAATTCAAAAATTGAAGCCGTGATTGCAGACTCAGGATATTCCCCATGAAATGAGAAGACTCGTATGTTTTCTATTTCTTAAACAGGGAACTTAAACATTAAGTTAAACCTATTCTAAATACCTTTTCAAACTATTCAAATGATGAAAGCTATTGTTGTTTTTTAAGCGTTTATTAGCGAGTGGGAAACTCCAACATGACCGCCATCTATTCAAATGGGGGTAACCGCTGGAATATTCTTGGCTTCAGTTTTACTAAAAGAAATGAGCTATCTAGTGTATATAAGATATCTATGATTTCGGATCTTCTTGCCTAGATCAAAATTTAGTATGCAGCTGGAATCAGTAGTAGTTGTATAATTTATGCATGATACATAATTTAGTAGCTGGCGGAGGTCTCCGGGTGCTTTCTGTAGTTTTAATGAAACCCCAACATGCAGATAAAAGGTACATGCATACAACACTCCAGTAAACTGGAAGTTCTAAGAGGATGGGTGAATAATAGCTTTATATTTAGCTTTGCCTACGTGCGTGTCATCATTGACAACAATTAAGATTGTCATGCATGTCTTCCGCTGTTCAGTTGCCATGGTAATCACCCACGTCTCGTGGGCGTTTTTAAGAGATGGGGCAAACATGTGCATTCATTGAAGAGGAGATCACGTCCTATTAAATGCAAGACATCCTTTCTTATGCAACATAAGTTTGCTTTCAAAGAAAATTTTATGAAAATTTGGCACGAAAAATTTAAGACAAGTGAAAGACTCGTTTGTGTGACTGGAAACACACGACAGATATGGACAGCTTGTATATAGAGGTATGCTTAATTGATAGGTTAGTGTAGTTTGTATAGTTGATCATGCATACCTGGTATTTTTATTCTCATAACAACTAACAAGTAAATTAACTCACTAGGGGACTCAGTGACTGACTTCGGTGGCACCATCGTCTGGGCAGGCGCTTTTCACCTCCGAGATTGTGGGTTAGATTCCGCACTCAGGATATTCATGTGAAAAGAGTCAATGCTCTACCGAAAGTCGTGGGCTTCCTTCGGTTACTCCGGTTTCCTCCCACAGGGAATGTTGACAGGGTGGGTTGGGATTAGCCCCAAATTGACCATTTGCGTAATAGACTAAATTTTAATCTAAACAAGTCTGGACAAAAATTTCATCACAGCTTTAAAGAGCATCACAAAATTAGTAACATTCCAAAGTTTCGTTGCGAAATGTCGTACAATGCGGATAATATAGCCTTGCGAAGTTTGCAATTTTCAGTAATTTTAGATTACAAACGGGAAATTGACAGCCCCAAAAGGGTTTGAGGCTGTCAATTTCCCGTTTAGGGATTGGGGCTGTCAATTTCCCGTTTGTAATCTAAAATGACTGAAAAACGGCAAACTTTGCAAGGCTATATTTTCCGCATTTTACAACATTTCGCAACGAAACTTTGGAATACTACTAATTTTGTGATGCTCTTTCAAGCTGTGATGAAATTTTTGTCTAGATCAAAATTTAGTCTATTACGAGTAAGGTAGCTGCAGAGGCGCCTTTCATAGAAATCCTCCAACTCGATCAAAACACGGCATACATCCGAAATGACGTCACTAGGATTAGGGTTCTAATTAAAAGTTAGAATTGCGCAAAGTTGGGTTTAGGATTTACGTTAGGTTGAGGTTTAAGTGGTTTACGATAAGAGCTAGGATTGGGATGGGCAGGTAATATGAAATATTGAACGTTCAAGACAGCATTTCTTTGCAATAAGAATTTCTAGTTTTTAATCTGGCATACTATCAGTCCATATAAATAATAAGTATACTGTATAACACTTTATATATCTCTACGACGTCACAGAGCATCATCAATAGACATTAATACTCGGTTTTCAAGGGAGATGTCTCGTATTTCCCGAGGTATTTCCAAATAAAATGTAGGACTTCTACAACGATTTATACGTGAGTGGCAATTCTGAAAGCAATTGTACGTGATCGTTTAAGACAATTTCTGTATTTTTGGCTATTTTCATTGTTTCCTCATGAGTTGGTTTGCAGCAAAGGCATTCTTGTAAAAAAAAAGACAAGTTGCAACACATTTCTGCAGGCGTCCAATTAGGGATCTTCGTTATATTGTTCTAGATCCTGAATAACTGGACCGAACTTAAAAGAAACATTAACGAGGAGAAATGCTACGCAAACTATTAACTATGCGAAATGTCCATTCTGATTTAGCCCTTCCAAAACCGTGAAGAAAATTTCTTACACAAAGTTTCAACTTTCAGTCAAATATAGTGGGCGTAAACTCTGGAACAGTCTTCCGATTGGTGCTATAAACCAGCCGAGTCTATTTACTCTTTTAAGAATTTATTGAAACAAAATGATCATCGTGCAACTACACTGTAATATGATACGCGGGTCACACCAATTAACTAATTTCTGGGTCACACCATACCATACACCATACCACACCATACCAGGTATTTGTGCAATAGAGCTTAGAGAAATAATCTATTTTATTATAATTTGCATGCAAGCTAGACAAGGGGATCTACTAATGAATTATGTCCTTGTTTTTACTGGCTGCCCCAATGCCGGCCGTAATGTAGCTCTATCAGTTCTAAACTGTTCCGCTTCCTAGAGGTCCAGTAAGGGTCATCTCTTATTAATCTAGTGTTACTGGCCGTTACTATATATATACAGGAAACTATAATAACTTTGTTTATACTGAATGGCCCTGTCAGTTCTGAAATGCGTTGCCCAAGAAGTCCAAATAAGAATAGTCTCTAAATTATTGGTCCAGTATAGCAGAAGGATTAGGTCTAATTCTAAATATACTCTAAAACTTAACAACATGATCGTGGTCAGGCAATATAATAACAAGATCTAACGAGAATACTTCTTTCGCCGTTTCGGTAAAAAAATGTCATTAGGGGACAATAAAAAATTCCTAACTGGGCAATCGTCCAATGAACGTCAAAATGCTTTAGAAGTACGGAATTAGTGAACAATTTGTTGGGAGATATGCCTGAATGACTTTCCGTCTTAAATTACAGTTTGAACTTGAATTAATTAGTTGGAAATGTTTATCACACGAAAATATACGACAAATCTGAACCACAGGACTGTTTATTTATAAACTATAAATATACTGGATAAAACGCGATACAAAGGTTCTACACGCTTTCTACGGGTTCTATCATTGCCAGACTACCAGGCGTGTAAATATTTCACATGATTTGACTCAACGCGTGCGAGTGCATCAGCTGATGCATTGTCCATTATATGCTCGATACAACTCGATGGAAATATCACCCACAGATAACCTATGAATGTGGTTAGTCCAGTATCTCAGTTCCCGTTCATGGGATATTTTAGTTCACCAGCAAAACACAAGGATTATCAGAAAACCTCAAGTCGAAGTGGTAGGACAAAAGATCGAAAGGTATGAGGACTTAAAAATTGGTCTGGACTATATCGATACCATAATGTTTACATGATGATATAGCGGAGCAAAGGTTTAATGATGGTAGGGTTTACTAGTGGAAGAGAAAAAGCAAAAGAGAAAATAATGTTAATCTGCAGGGCCGGTTCAGAGGCCTTCAGAGCATGACCAGCGCCATAAACCGTGGGTTAAAATTTAACCCATACATACTTATAATACGTATTTCTGTGCGTCTGTTTATTTCAAAACTTTCGAAAATTGAACTTGATCCTGACAAGATTTCTTGAAAAAATATTTCCAAGTTTATGAGCAAGCCGTTGGGAAGTTAGTTTAATTGAAGTTTTGAAGTGAATCCTGGATTAATTTAAGGCAATTGGCTTTCAACCAACCGGCCCTGATGGCTACATATTGCGAAACGTAGTTTAATTTGATTGTTTGTAGAAGTGTCAACAGTTCTCACGTTGACAGCACGTGCATGCAACCCATTTTAAACGCTTCAGTCTCGAGGCCACCAATACCTACAATTTTATAAGCCTGAGAGAGAGAGCAGTTGTGAACCTATAACTTTTGGTACTGGAATTGAATAGTTGACAGCTGAACTCTGTGGCGTCTCGGGTGTCCTATATTTTATTGCCACCTCATTCACAATCAATCAGTATTGTGTACAATAATACGCTTTTATTGATATACATCAGCAATGAAATATCATGATTCATGAACTATAATTAAGTATTGTTTAACTGGAGTCATATTGACATTAATAATTGAATCATGTTAGCGCAGCATTTTAACAACAATATATTCAGCGTAACATTCAACTAAACTGAATAAGCTTTTAAAACATATTTTCACCTTGGGTTTATATTTTGTGTGATTAGAAAAACTTACTTTGTTAGTGTAAATACTACATATTTCGAATCTTCACGTGTCCAATTTCTAGAGCCTGGGAACTAGGTTGTGGTCGCTAACAAAGTGTTCTGTACAATGTAATCATGTGTATAATAATCGTCCGCATGCGTTATATGACTTTACTTTTTTTTCACATCACATGACTGATGTCCGTAGCGAGAATCGAACCCACCATCTCAGAGATAGAGGCGAAAGGCGCTTGCTTAGACGAGTTCGAGAGAACGAAGCCCCAATAGGCTAATACATGACTCCTGGCCACTCTTACTCTAACGATTAGCGCATGACGAGGCTCAACAACGCGCATGAAACCATAGTTGATAGAAGCTTTGACGAGTTCGAGAGAACGAAGCCCCAATAGGCTAATACATGACTCCTGGCCACTCTTACTCTAACGATTAGCGCATGACGAGGCTCAACAACGCGTATGAAACCATAGTTGATAGAAGCTTTGACGAGTTCGAGAGAACGAAGCCCCAATAGGCTAATACATGACTCCTGGCCACTCTTACTCTAACGATTAGCGCATGACGAGGCTCAACAACGCGCATGAAACCATAGTTGATAGAAGCTTTGACGAGTTCGAGAGAACTAAGCCCCAATAGGCTAATACATGACCCCTGGACACTCTTACTCTAATGATTAGCGCATGACGAGGCTCAACGCGCATGAAATCATAGTTAATAGAAAACATTGTTTCCTATTAACTATGATGAAACCTAAGTACCCTAAATTGAAAACCTGCCTCGACAAGCACCCAGACATAATCCATCGTTAGAATGAAATCTCAAACTGAATTTTGTATAAAATCAAACCAAGCCAACTCTATGCAAACGAACGAGGACACCCGAATGGATTTCACTCCACAATCAGTTGTAAACGCCTTGGCTCTTGAGCGCGTCGAGAAGACAAAACATTTTAGAAAATCGTCCTCGGCAAGATACAACGTAACGAGCTACGATACAAAGCACAAGGTATTGCATGTTTACCATCACCTTAGAATATATACAGCTATTTCCATTAAGGTTGTCCACGAGCAAAGCGGAAAAGTCGAATACGAGCGCGCGAAAGGCTGCTGGGAATCGCTTTGAAAATTCATTAATTTGTTAGCGATTCCCAGCAGCATTTCGCGCTCGTATTCGACTTTTCCGCTTTGCTCGTGGACAACCTTAATTGAAATAGCTGTGTACATGAACTTGTGGTTGGGGCTCAACCAATGGACTCTGCGGTAGCTCAGTTGGGTAGAGTGCTGCACTGGAATCACAGGGCCGTATATAGGTTCGATTCCTGTCACTCTAAAAACACTCTGGTTAAATTTGGGTAAAATTAACCATTTTCCTGGTTAAAAGTCAAAAAAAGTGTACCAAATTTTTGTTGAATTGATAATTTTTAACCAGGAAATGGGTTAAATTTAACCAGAATGTGTTGGGTGGATTATTAACCCAATTCCTGGTTGAATTTAACCAGAGTGTTTTTAGAGTGTATAGTTGCATTTTCTAGTCGCAACTGCTCCTCGTTAGGTCAGTCTAACAAATGTATAAAAATTCAAATGTATAAAAATTCAAATGTATAAAAATTACCATCTACAAATCTCTTCTATACAACTATGCATGTTTTATAACAGAGATGGTCAACAGGCCTTAAAATATCGGTCGGTCACGGACATTGTCCGACCCATTCGTGAAATTGTCCGACGTGGCCAAGGAAACCACCGGACATTCTGTCCGACCAAAGTGAAACTGAGGTTTATTGTTTGTCCGACCCGAGTGTATTGGTGTCCAAACCGAACTGTAGCTTTGTCCGACGTAAATCAAAATGTACCCTAGCCAGGACTAGAGGCTTGTATGTTAAATGCATGGAAAATCAGAGTACTATTGTATAAAAGGTGTACTGGAAATGTTGTTTTAACGTAGTCGAGCACGCGGCGGCGAGCGAAATGGTGAAGTGGAAAACGGGCTTAAGTTGTCGAAGTCTTTTTTATTATACTGCTGTTCTGGAAAGCAAGTTAATTTTGGCTTGGAAATAAGTATGAAAGAAACAAATTATTTAATATTTTCACAACATTTACTGTTTATTCATTTGTGTCATTCAGACTTATTTCCGAGTCAAAAATGAACTGAAGGCGGTCATCGGACAGATGTCCGACCCAAACTCAACGTCACCGGACATTTCCCAGACGGCCCTGGGAAAAGATATTTTAAGGCCTGTGAGATGGATGATTCGTTTCGACGAATTTCAGTAAAGAAACGACAGTCTGATGATCTTCCAAATTTTACTACTAACATTACGTTCGAACTCATCAATTGTATACACCTATTTCAATTAAGGTTGTCCCCGAGCAAAGTGGAAAAGTCGAATACGAGCGCGAAAGGCTGCTGGGAATCGCTAATAAGTTCATTCATTTATCAACGAATCCCAGCAGCCTTTCCCGCTCGTATTCGACTATTCCGCTTTGCTCGGGGGACAACCTTATTTGAAATAGCTGTATGACGAAGTTTCTTGGGCGAAATAAGAAATGACGTAGGTCTGATACAATCTCTATATAATTGCCAGTTTTATCAAATATAGAATATGTATATTGAAGGCCCCATGCTGACTCTGAAATTGGACGAAAACAACTTTAAAACTTATCGTGACTAGACGTGATGACCCCTACGGTTTAAATTGCCCACTTTCGGTAATACGCCCAATATACACTCGTGAACAGGCCTATAGCCACGAAGGGGGAGGGATTGCCATTATACCAATATACTGATAATACTAACTCAATATACCTGTATACCTAAATTCCAGGCTACATGTAAGATATTCTGTACCCGTATTCCAACCTATTTTAACAATAAAGTTCTGTATATACCAAAACTAAAATGGCCTAAATACCAATATACTCGAAACCCCTGGTTGGGCCTGCGTTTTAGGACCTTTTAGTTTGAACACACGTGGCGAAGTTATTCAATTTTCAAGTTGTTGGTAGAATGTAAAATCTATTTTAGATTATTTGCCAATTTTAACCGGATTATACAAACAGTGTACAAACTCAAGACGAATTACTATCGAGATGAACTAGCCATAGAATTGCGTGATCTGTGCTGGCAATCAGGGTTCCGGGAACAAATCATATCTGATTCTTCCTGACACATCGCGGTCTAATCCTGTGTTTATAAACAGCAAAGTGAGGCGAAATTATGGTAGGAATCAGAGTATGCCAGTAGTTAGAGGAGTGAAAGCCAACCCACTTAAAACACTTAACCTTTGAAATCCTCTCACTTCCTACATGGGGAACACAAGTTACTCAACGAAAAATTTTAATTCTCTCTCTATTAATTATAAAATGACTTCCTATGAAACATGTTTACAATGGCGCAGGAACACAATGTTGACAAAGAATCATTGTCTCTAATGACGTCATTATCAAGCCCAATAGCCGTTGTGTCTTCCTGCACGCAAACATCGTGTATAAAAGCTAATTGCCGTTCTTTGCATGCAAAAATATAAACACTCTGTGAACTCAGTCGGTGGTGAAAGACTAGTTAGAGAAGAAGGTGAATCATGCTTATTTCGCTATCAGGAGAAGATATTGAGCAACTCGATGATGTATGAACTCTTTCTGCTATATTTGTTGATATCTATATATATATATATACTTGACGTTGTTGGGAGTATTTGAATTTACTAAGAGTTATTACATGCAGGCGTAGAGCATATAGACTTGGGGGTGAAACTTCCTGTCGGTTATTTCTGAACAAACTGAGAAAAATAGGAAGAATTTTTCGACGATTTTTCGAACTATAGCATTTCTTCAGGAAGTCAATAGCTCTGGGCAATATAGGCACAGTTTGTTCATGTGTAATTTGACATCAATATTCGCCTCATTTGCATGTGAGAGCCGGGAGATCTAGACTGTAGTTCAACACACCAACATAGCAGATGAAGCATAGAACCGTATTCTGTTTCCTGCATTAATCAATATGAGATGAACCTTATACTGCATCTCTAGGTTTAGAACTGATAGAGTTATGCAGTATAAATAGTTTAGGTTTAGTTTAGGTTTCCTCCTGTAGGAAGAGATGACCCTTACTGGACCGCTAGGGAGAACAGTTTAGAACTGACAAAACTATCAAGTATAAATAAAGTTAGTTTAGTTTAGGTTTCCTCCTGTAGGAAGAGATGACCCTTACTGGACCGCTAGGGAGAACAGTTTAGAACTGACAAAACTATCAAGTATAAATAAAGTTAGTTTAGTTTAGGTTTCCTCCTGTAGGAAGAGATGACCCTTACTGGACCTCTAGGGAGAACAGTTTAGAACTGATAGAGTTATCCGGTGTGAATAAAGTTAGTTTAGTTTACTGGTCAATAAGACAATAAAAGTCCCCCTTACTTAACTTCCAAGGAGAACAGTTTAGAACTGATAAAGCTATCCAATATAAATAAAGTTAGCCGGACATGAATACATTTAAACATGTGCATAATTTATTTGCAGACTAAGAAAATCGAGACGGAAGTTCTGCTGTCATTGAGTTATCTTCCAACAGCAGAAAGATTGTCTGTGGTGGTTATGAAAGCCAAGAATATAGAAATAAAATCGGAGGAAACGATTACGAAAAACAAGACTACAGTTCCGAGTGAGTAGGAGAACTATTCCATGATCATTTTTTAGTTATTGACGATGTATATTAGAGGTTTAGGTTATAACTATTCTTCCTTTACTCTGCGGTGAATTATTCAGCCTGTGACATTGGCCATGGTCTGGACCTCTTGGAAGAACAGTTAAGAACTGATAGAGCTATCCAGTATAAGTAAAGTTAGTTTAGTTTAGGTTTCCTCCTGTAGTAATATTGGATCAATAAGAGATGATCCTTACTGGACCTCTTGGAAGAACAGTTTAGAACTGATAGAGCCATCCAGCATAAATAAAGCTAATTTCAGTTTTCTACTTTAATGATAGTGGATCAATATGGGTGATCTTTACTAGCTAAAACAGTTTAGAATTGATAGAGTTCACAGAGAACAAATTACTAAGATTAAATGTTACCCCTAATAATCAACTATTATCCATAACAAATACTTTACATCATCCTCAACCCCTAACAATCAACTGTTATCCATAACAAATACTCTATCATCCTTCTAGATCCCTTTGTCAAAGTATGCCTCATTTACGCGGGTCGGAAGATCAAGAAGAAAAAAACATCGGTGAGAAGGCAGGAAAAGAATCCAGTCTACAACGAATCCATGATTTTTGACGTCCCTGCGAACTTCTTGCATAAAATCGGTTTCCTTATTACAATTGAACATAAAAACTTTGAGAACGAGCAGACTACAGTACTGGGGCGAGTTGTGATTGGGTCCCCTGTGCATAATAACGCATTACGTCATTGGAACCAAATGCTGGCCTTCCCAAGGCGACCTGTGGCCGCCTGGCATAAGGTCTTTCATCTGGGGTAGCTTGAAAATGACGGTTTGGAGAAATGGACTCCATAAAGATATTACGCGGGATTTACACGCGGGACATTCACGTCTGAATCGCACATGGCTAACACGCGTGTCCATCACCTGCAGATGGCTGTGACAGTCCAGTATATTAAGATTTAGTTTATAAGTTCAGTAAACTCTTCATTTCCTCTCTAGGAAGCAAAATATATTCAATCAGAAACCATGACTTAGCATTTTACTCTGTCTAATGCCAGACAATTTTACGTCAAAAGAGAAGTCTACAAAGACTATATTATCACGGATGAGAAAGAGTTATTCAGCAGTTAAAGAACTAACTCCTTATAAACTCTATTTCCGTGTCGATCATGTTTAATGTCAAACCATTTCACGTCATATTCCACGCGCGGGAAAGCCTTAACAATAAACAGACGTGTATTTAAAGTATAATAGATTTAATATATTAAGAACATGTAAATATATGTATATAAAATATTGGGAGAATATTGAAGAATATTTGTATATTATTACAATGCAATGAATATTTTATGTAAACGACTGAAAAATTATATTATTTTGTTGTTTCATTTCCAGCTTTGCGGTTGGGAATTCCTTTATGTTTTGTACAAGATTTTAAACCTCGGACTGGATCGTGAATTTATCCAGATTTCTATACAATTGTCAGCTTATTGGCATAATCCTGCAGATTAAATATTTATATCGATATCCGTATAGTTTTCAATAATTTTGCCAACGGTTGAAAAATCACTATCCGGTAGAATGCTAGCCTGACACTGGCAGTTGAGGTAATTGAACACAACGAGAAGCTGAACTTTCCACGCTAAATTGCCCCCTGTCTCTCTATAATTAAAGTCCATCGTTCCCCCCGTCTCTCTATTAAGCTACTCTCAAAGCAAATGGCTGATTCTTATGCATCTATTATTAATAGGCCGCTTCATTAATATGCAAGGCCTATCGATTGGATCTTTTGTAGTCTATAAGCTGTGTTTGTTGTAGCTGTAATTATAACAGTATACATCTTTGTGGCTGACACAAATTGATTTGTATAAAGAGCGATGCGACGGATCATTTCAAAGATCTAACAGGCGACGTTTTCAAACGCTGTGGCAAATGTAACGGTTGGTTGTGCAACGGTCAAGAATAGTTCCGAATGAAAGAAGTTTGCTTAATTAAGGTACGGAAAGCAATGTATATAGATTTTGAGATTAAGTAAATGCTTTAGTTTCCTGACGATATAGCTTTCAAGATTTTGTGAAAAGATATCTCAAACATATAGGGGGCCAGTGAAGATATATAATATTCTACAATAAGCTGTCGTAGTTTGTGTCTGAACTACTTGAAAAAGATATCTCAAACGTGGTGGTCCAGTGTAGGTAGTATTCTACAATAGGCTGTCGTGGTTTGTGTCTGAACTACCTGAAAAAGATATCTCAAACGTGGTGGTCCAGTGAAGATATAGTATTCTACAATAAGCTGTCGTGCATGGTTTGTGTCTGAACTACCTGAAGAAGATATCTCAAATATGGGGGTGCAGTGGCGTTCTACAATAAGCTGCCGTCGTTTGTGTCTGAACTACTTAAAAAAAATAAATTAAAAAGTTTCAAACGAAGGCTCTCTTTCAGATGTTAGTGCATGATCTTGTTAAATTTTCCATCTTGTTCAAACACAAACCACACGACAGCTTATTGTAGAATACTACATACACTGGACCTCCACATTTGAGATACTAAGTCTTTTTCAGATATAGTTCCAATTCAGACACAAACCACGACAGCTTGTTGTAGAATACTACATATATACACTGGACCTCACATTCTCATATACATTCTCAAAAACTAGACTGAGTATACATAATATAAAAAGTCCAGACAATTATCGGACACGGAAGAAATGGACACTGCGAAAGTTACATTAATAACGTAGCACGAATGGGCACACTAAAATGTTTTCCCTCATATTAGTTGGATTTGCTGAATATAAACGAAACAATTTGCGAGTAGGATACTATAGTTTACCATATATTTTCCGAGATATGTTTGTACTTGCCCTTGACATTGACATGAAATTGTCAAGTTATTTATAGGGGCAGGTGAAACGAGGTGCAAATTGAATTTGAAATTTTAATTTAAAATTGAGCGAGGCAGGAGGTTAATGGCAACATATTGCTGGCCTTCCCTCGAAACGTGCAACTGTCCAAAGCTTATTTGCAGCTGTATAGTTTAAAATACACAAACCACGGCAGGTTATTGTAGAATCTTGACCGTTTTTTCGTGTATATTCAAGTATTGTTAATTATATAAGGAAGGCATGCATATATTTATTTAAGAGCCTCTCCCACCTGTCTGAGGCATTAGATGCGTGCAGGACTCGAAATAGCGGGCTGCCGATGGCCAAAAGGAGGCCATATTTCAGAAATGGCAGGCAAAAACAAATTTGAACTGCCAAAGTAAAAAAAAAATGGCAGGTGATATTCTATAGATATATTTCATTTCATTTGCTTATCACAACTCATATATACTAGATTATTTAGTTGACTAAATACGTTTACATTTCAAATGTAAATCCAAGTTGACTGAAGTAAATAGACAAGTTTAAAAATAGTAAAAATGCATATCATGAAGACATTGATTTTTACAATGATTCATATATGAGACATCGCCATTTTTAGCAGTTCAATGAATAAAAATGGCAGGCTAAAATTTATTACACCTGCCAAGAATTTTTAGATTGACAGGCCATATTTTTTCTTTTGGCTATATCCCTAAATTTACATGTGCGCAAGTAGGCAAAGTTACACACTTATCATTCTATACTAAACTCGGATAATTTTATCAAATTCAATTTAAAAACAATCTTAATTTCAATCCTTAAACCTCGGTTGGAGCTCTCACTCGGTTGTTCAAAAATCGATATACGCTATAACAACAGTATATCCCTATAGGTTAACATAAAATTCAAAGCAAACTTCCTAACACCTTGGTTATAAATTTGGAAATATTTCTTCAGAAATCTTGTCTGGATCGATAGGAGTTTTCTTCTCTGACGTTTTGAGATAAAGAGACGTGCAGAAATACATAAACTTATTGGCACCTGAGTACACTACACCCACACAGAGTACACACATGATTATTAGATTACACTGAAATCGAAGGAACTAGACTCAGTTCCGAAATATTACATACTCGAACCGACCTGACAGCGTAGCTCAGTTGGCAGAGCATTGGGCTAGTATTCCAAAGGCAGTCGTAAGTTCGATTCCCACCGTGGCCAGGCATATTTTTCAAGCTTGCTCGGTGTGGATATACACTCAGAGTAACATCACAAACATCATATTCACCTGAGTACATTACACCAACACAGAAAAATCATGATTATTATCAGATTACATTGATATCGAAGGAACTAGACTCAGTTCCGAAATATCACATACTCGAACCGACCAGACCGCGTAGCTCAGTTGGCAGAGCATTGGGCTAGTATTCCAAAGGTCGTAGGTTCGATTCCCACCGTGGCCAGGCATATTTTTCAAGCTTGCCCGGTGTGGAAATACACTCAGAGTAACATCACAAGCATCATATTCACCTGAGTACATTACACCAACACAGCAAATATCATAAAACAGCAAGTTACATTACATTACATTATTATTCAGCTTGGAACAACCAGCCCATGCAGAGCTAACTAACTAGGCTAGTCTTATAGCTAACTAACTAGGCTAGTCTTCTAAGACTATTTTAGTTAGCTTATTACCATGCAAACCATATATATTAACTATATTAACTAATGTATATATTATTTTTTTTGTCATTGGTAATAAATCTTCTTCTCCTTCTTACCCTAACCCCTATCCCGTCCTAGCCACAACCCTTATGGAAAGTAGTCAACCTTGTACTCCTTATTTTGATCTCAAACGGGGTCACATTAATAATGCACGCGGCCACCAGTAGAATGTCTGTTTTCAGCCATTTTTCTAAACTATCACAATTCAAGCGTTTCGCTCAGTATTGACCGTTATAAACACAAGTATATTTTGTTAAGTTTTGGACCGAGTGAAAGCTATACTTTGGACAATACAAAGATATCTTGGTAATAAGGGCGTATCTTAATCCATCTCTACAAAGCTAGGGATATGGGCAGTCAAGATTAATACAAAACCTTGTCATATTTAATATCTTTAGTTCGGTTTTACGATGTTAAGATTACGGTAAGTTTACATCAAAATACTGTTGTTTTATAAACTAACTTTGTTTATAGTGGATGTACGGCTGGACAGCTCTTATACAAGTCTCATGATCATCTCTACACGAACTGCCGTCCCAGATTGGCAGCCGGTGACTCCGTAACAGTCATCTCCAATTAAACATAAATGTTATACGAGGAAAACTGATCTAACATTATTCATATGGGATAGCCTGTTAAGCTTTTAACTACTCTGCAGTATGGATTATTCCTTATTGGAAAAACCGGAATCCTTGACAAATTTAATATAGTCAGACAATGGACCTATTCCCTAATGTAATGAACAAAATTTTGATCCAGACAAGTCTAGACAAAAATTTCATCACAGCTTGGAAGAGTATCACAAAATTAGTAGTAGCCTATTCCGAAGTTTCGTTGCGAAATGTTGTAAAATGCGGATAATATAGCCCTGTGAAGTTTGCCATTTTCAGTCATTTTGTGATTACGCGCGGGAAATTGATACCTTTTTTTCAGAAAGCGGTACCAATTTCCCGTGCGTCAGTACAAAATGACTGAAAAACGGCAAACTTCTCAGGGCTATATTATCCGCATTTACAACATTTCGCAACGAAACTTCGGAATATTACTAATTTTGTGATGCCCTTTCAAGCTGTGATGAAATTTTTGTCTAGACTTGTCTAGATCAAAATTTTGTTCATTAGGTAATAGGTCCATTGCATACAGCAAGAATCGAACTCTTCTGTTCTGTTCAATTTCGGATTACACATTTACATATTTCGGCCTAAATTGAATTACAACTTAATCCACACATACAAATAAATATAGGATTGCATTGTGCACGACTTTGTATATGAATGATAAATTAATACGTAATTAAATATCGTTTGTTTAATTATTGTTGTAATAAATCAAAATAAAATCTTCCAGTGAGAATATGGAGCACGTATTCACAGAGAGGTCGATACCAGTGACAAAGAACAACACTATAACGAAGAGAGGGAACGGCACAGCCAACGCTGGAAATGATTTAGTTTTGGAACTGAAAAAAGCCTTGCCATGTATGTTAACTTTGTGTCTCTGTGCAGGATCGCGTTGAAATATGTTTAAATTGCGTTCTACTATATACTTTCTAAGTGCAACCAATAGACCTTTCCCCTTTTAAGTGAGATTTTGATCTGGACAAAAATTTCATCACAGCTTGAAAGAGCATCACAAAATTAGTAATATTCCGAAGTTTCGTTGCAAAATGTTCTATAAAATGCGGATAATATAGCCTTGCGAAGTTTGCCGTTTTTCAGTCATTTTATATTACAAACGGGAAATTGACAATCAGTTTGATCATCTGATTATCAATTTCCCGCGTGTAATACAAAATGACTGAAAAACAGCAAACTTCGCAAGGCTATATTATCCGCATTTTACAACATTTCGCAACGAAACTTCGGAATTTACTAATTTTGTGATGCTCTTTCAAGCTGTGATGAAAGTTTTGTCCAGACTTGTCTAGATGAAAATTTCACTTAAAAGGGGAAAGGTCTATTGCGTTCCAAAGTGCGCAGGGGCACCGGAGCCACGGGGGCCACTGCCCCCAATGCCCAAACAGTGCGGGGGCAGCAAGGGAGCAACAGGTTGCCCTTTTTTTAAGCAAAGTTTAAGCAATCTTTGCATAAATTTTAACCAGTTGTAGTAAAATTAATGCTAAATCAGGCAATATACATCCGCACTCCGTCAGAACTCCATTAAACCAGCCAATGGCTGAATTGGACGATCCTGCTTAAATATTGTTATCATCATTACCATCATCAAAATAAAAATCAGTATAAAATTGTTCAAAATTAATGTCGAAGTTTGCAGACCCATAATAGTCACAAGTAATCGAGTATCCATACAGTAAAGTTTTAACAAATATTGCCGCCCAGAAAAAATGATGGCTGAGAAGCAAGTGCCTTTTTGAAATGGCTGCCCCCGCCGCTTTACACTGAATCTTCTGGCGCCCCTGAAAGTGCGCTCAAGAATGTTTTCCATTTGATTCTAGAATGCATTCTGAGCAAAGTCTAGATGTGTCCCCATTTTCTTCAAGAATGCGGTCGAAGCGCGATCAAATCGCATTCTAATTGCATCTTAGTTCAAACTGCGTTCTAATTGCGTCGCTTGATTATCGTTCAGTCCGCGTCCCAAATTGCGTTTCATTTCCCATGGAAATGCAAGTTTCAACACAAGTTTCATATCAACCGCATATAAGTCAATGAATTTATAGTAAAGTACGCGGTGAAGTACTCACATTTTGTTTCTTGAATGCAGTTCCGTTGTGGGTCGCAGGAGTTCTTGCCGGAGTATCGGTGCTTCTCATTCTTCTCTGTCTAGTTTGTATCTGCAAGAAATGCTGTTGTAAGAGGTATTGAACAATGTCATCTTCAAGGAATAAAAATATATTTTCTGCTGCTATTTCAGTTTCCTCCTGTAGCAACACTGGAACAATAAGAGACAACTCTCACTGGACTTCCGGGGGAAAAACGGTTTAGAACTGATAGAGCTATACAGTATGAATAAAGTTAGTTTAGGAGTCTCCTCATGAAGTATCAATTGGATCAATAAGAGATTATCCTTGCTGGACCGCTAGGGGGAACAGGTTAGACTTAATAAAGCTACCAGTATAAATAAAATGATTAGTTTAGTTCAGGTTTCCTCCTGTAGTAACACTGGATCAATAAGAGATTATCCTTACTGGACCTCTAGGAAGAACAGTTTAGAACTGATAGAGCTATCCAGTATAAATAAAGTTAGTTTAGTTTAGGTTTCCTCCTGTAGTAACACTGGATCAATAAGAGATGATCCTTACTGGACCTCTAGGAAGAACAGTTTAGAACTGATAGAGCTATCCAGCATAAATAAAGTTAGTTTAGGTTTCCTCCTGTAGTAACACTGGATCAATAAGAGATGATCCTTACTGAACCTCTAAGAAGAACAGTTTAGAACTGATAGAGCTATCCAGTATAAATAAAGTTAGTTTAGTTTAGGTTTCCTCCTGTAGTAACACTGGATCAATAAGAGATTATCCTTACTGAACCTCTAGGGAGAACAGTTTAGAACTGATAGAGCTATCCAGTATAAATAAAGTTAGTTTAGTTTAGGTTTCCTCCTGTAGTAACACTGGATCAATAAGAGATTATCCTTACTGAACCTCTAGGGAGAACAGTTTAGAACTGATAGAGCCATCCAGTATAAATAAAGTTAGTTTAGTTTAGGTT